CCTACCAACTCTAATAAAATAGAAGTATATCAGATTTAGAAGAGAGGGATGCACATTGTACAATGGTGGGCCAGTTTGCAAAGAAAAAAAACAAAAATGACAGGAATGGTGAAACGATTATTTCCAGAGCATGATGAGCATAATACAAAAAAGGAATTAGATGTAATGAAAAGAATAGAATAGAACAAGATAGGATAGAATAGAATAGAATAGAATAGAATAGAATAGAATAGAATAGAATAGAATAGAATAGAATAGAATAGAATAGAATAGAATAGTTGAAACAGATAGTGAAGGCACTTTTTTGCTATGGCAAACAGACTGGGCTAAATTCTTTAAGTAATTGAGAGACAAAAGAGATTTCTAAGCAAGAAGTTTACTAGGTCATATTTGTCTTTCCTAATAGTAACTTTAGAAGTTCTGTATCATTCACTCATAGGCACCATAAATTAGAGTTGTATTTGAGTCACTGTATTTACTCCATATTTTTTGACACAGCCCAACAGCCTTTTAATAGATCTCCTTGGTGCCAGTGTTAGCCTCATTTATGTTGTTGTTGTCAGAGATGTGGAAAAAAAATCTTGGTGTTGCTTGGTTAATGTAAGCTCAGGAGAGGACAGGGAGAGAATTAAAGGCAACATGTATTTCCAACTCTAGAATTTTCCTATAAAGGGCAGAAGAGAAATTATGTAATAGCTACAGAAGTACTAACACATGTTTTATGTATGGGGGAATGATTTAGTAGAGAGTAAAATCTGATGATATAGGAGAGAGAAAATAAAATTGCTATAATGATGCCTTGAGTAGGTAAAGCAGGGTGGGGATGGAATATAGTGAAAAAGTGGAAATGTTTGTTAGGATCATGGATATCCTATCCATAGTAACATAAATGGGGGCAGAATATATGGACAATGATGCATATACTTTCATGGCTATGGTAGTTATGGAATTAGTGAAGTTATTTTTTTCTACTTTTTTTAGTGATATAAGAAGTCAGGTTATTAGTGCGAGTGAGGATAAGGAATAGGTAAATTTTGAAGGGAAAATATATGAAATAATTAGATAGGCAAGCTGATGAGTAAATAAACTATGATTAGCAGTGTTAAGACCTACTTGAGGTTAGGAGATATGGATTTGTCTAGTCACTATCAACTAAATAGGTGTAAGTGTGAGCTAGTTTTTTTTTTTAATATATTTTATTGATTTTTTACAGAGAGGAAGGGAGAGAGATTGAAAGTCAGAAACATCGATGAGAGAGAAACATCGATCAGCCGCCTCTTGCACATTCCCCACTGGGGATGTGCCCGCAACCCAGGTACATGCCCTTGACCGGAATCGAACCCAGGACCCTTCAGTCCACAGGCTGATGCTCTATCCACTGAGCCAAACCGGTTTCGGCAACTAGTTCTAAGATTCAGCATATCTCTTGTTGGTGTTTTTCCAGTATAAGGAAGTAAAAAAATAGAAGCAAGAGAGTTGAGAGTATATTTAAGGGGATGATTATAAACTTTTTACTAATTTAAGTAATAAGGTGAGTAAGAATACAACGGGACAACCAAGATGGCAGCATAGGAAAACACCTGTACTTGTCGCCTCTCACAACCACATCAAAACTACAACTAAAAGACAAAACAATTATCATCCAGAACTGCAGGAAAGCTGGCTGAGTGGAAGTTCTACAACCAGAAGGAAAGAAAAAAGCGCATTGAGACTGGTAGGAGGTACGGAAGTGCAGAGGCGCGCACAGAATGGGCTGGCAACCAAGTGCGCTGTTGTTTTTTTCAATCTTGAGGGAGATAGAAGTTCCCGATTGCTCTGAACTCCAGTTCCAGGTGAGATTCTGGTGACCCAGACCAATACAGGGAGAAACTGGACTGTCTGGCATCGGGCCAGAACCCGAGGGCAGCTTTCTCTCAGAAATGCTCTCAGCGATCATTGTTCCTGCACAGGGGGATCCAGACGTGGAGATGCAGGGACCTCTCCAGTGCAGGGCTGACTGGCAACCATTGCTGTTTGCTCTGCCCTGGTGATTTCATGAGACCCTGCCCCCCCCCCCCCCAATTTACAACCCCACCCAAGCTGTGCACAGCAGCTTTTGCATATGAATGTCCTGTCCTTTCTCAGCTTAAAACCTGTCAAATTGCAGCTGGTTCAGAAAGCCCCAGAGCTTCCAAAAGAAGGCCCAAGGCCCAGCAGCAGCAGCCTGCCTTGCTTCACAGCTGGGCCTCATTTTGGCACTTCCAAACCCCATACAAAGAGGAGGAATCTGCAGATCTTTCTGTAGTTCCTGATGGGTGGCCTCAGGCAGTGGCTGACTTTATATTTCCTTGGAGATCCAAGAGCCAGTGTACCCAGTGGTCAGTGTGAGATCATACCGGCTTACAACTCTTCATAAGCAATACACTCAAGGGGCAGACTCAGTGAGCACCAAAGCACCACTGAAGCAAGCTCTGCCCCATAAGGGCATGTCCTGCACAGCAGTCCTTCCAGTAAACACAGCTGGTCTTCACAGCCAATTGGCCTGGAGGTCAATTCCAATGATACCAACAGCAATCAAGACTTAACTACAATAAGACTGTGCACACAGCCCACAAAGGAGTGCACCCAGAGTGTCTACCTCAGGTGATTGGGGAGGCTGAGCCACTGGGCCCTATAGGACACCTACCACACAAGGCCACTCTATCAACACAGGGAAACAGCCAAAATGCGGAGACAAAGAAACATGTCATGAATGAAAGAAATGGAGGAAAAGAAACTACTGGATATAGAGTTCAAAACCACAATTATAAGGTTACTCAAGAATCTTCTAAAAACCTCCGAGGAACTTAGTGAGACCTCCGAGGAACTTACTGAGACCTTCAAGGATCTTAGTGAGATTGCCGAAAAAAAAGGAAAAGGACCAGTTGGAAATTAAGCATACAATGACTGAAATAAAGAATAATATACAGAGATTCAACAGTAGACTAGAGGATCCCAAGAATCAAATCAAATATTTGAAATATGAGGAGGCAAAAAACACCTAACTGGAAGAACAAAAAGAAAAAAGAATCCAAAAATATGAAGATAGTGTAACAAGCAACTGGGACAACTTCAAGCATACCAACATCCAAATTATGGGAGGGCCAGAAGATAGAGCACAAGATATTGAAAACCTATTTGTAGAAATAATGACAGAAAACTTCCCCTATGTGGTGAAAGAAATAGACTTACAAGTCCAGGAAGTGCAGAGAACCCTAAACAGGAGGAATTCAAAGAGGACCACACCAAGACACATCATAATTAAAATGCCAAGGGCAAAAGACAGAGAGAGAATCTTAAAAGTAGTAAGAGAACAACACTTAGTTACCTACAAGGGAGTACCCATACGGCTGTCAGCTGATTTCTCAACAGAAACTATGCAGGCCAGCCAAAAGGGAGTGGCAAGAAATATTCAAAGTGATGAATAGCAAGAATCTACAACCAAGATTACTCTACCCAGCAAAGCTATCATTTAGAATTGAAGGTCAGATAAAGAGCTTCACAGACAAGAAAAAGCTAAAGGAGTACATCACCACTGAACCAGTATTATATGAAATGCTGAAGGGTATTCTTTAAGAAGAGGAAGAAGAAGAAAAAGGTAAAGATAAAAAATTATGAACAACAAAGTGACAACTAATACATATCAACAAGTGAATCTAAAAATCAAATGAATAAAAAATTTGATAAACAGAATAAACTGGTGAATGTAATAGAATCAGGGGCATGGAAAGGGAGTAGACTGACAATTCTCAGGGGGAAGAGGGTGTGGGGGATACAGGAAGAGATTGGACAAAAATCTTACATCTATGGATGAGGACAGTGGCGGGGGGGGGGGGTGGTGAGGGCATGGGGTGGGGTGGGAACTGGGTGGAGGGGAGCTATGGGGGGAAAAAAGAGGGACATCTGTAATAATCTGAACAATAAAGATTTGAAAACAAAAGAATATGAGGGAGGCAAGTGACAAAAGGATAAAGGGCCATTAGATAATACGATCTGGTGAAGCAAACATATTGTGGAGTCAGAATAATGGAGGAAATGATTTGGAAATGTAGGAGGCTGAATTTAGAGCCTGGGTCACTTCAAATTAAGATTATGGAGGGGTTCCAGATATTGGCAATAATAAATTTTAGATTATTGCTGGGGTCCCACCCCGGCAGGTCCAGGGGTCCCCAAAGGTGTGGACGGAGTCGGCGAAGAAGGAAGGACACGGAGACAGTGTTCAGTTGATCAGTAGCCTAGCCAGGATCTCTAGCCAGGATCTCCGGCCAAGTTCTGGTCTGGATCTCCAGCGAAGTTCTGCTTAGGATCTCCAGCCAGGTTCTGTGTCCATGTTCTCTTGCTAGGTTCTCCAGGTTCTCCAGCCAGGTTCTGTAGCCATGTTCCCTCGCTAGGTTCTCCAGCCAGGTTCTGTCCAGGTTCTCCAGCCAGGTTCAGTCACCAGGTTCTAGTCAGGTTCTCTTGCCAATTTCTGTAGTCAGGTTCAGTCCAGGATCTTTTGCCATGTTCTCTCCAGCGAAGTTCTGTCTCTAGGTTCTGTGTAGGTTCTGTCTTCTTAGTTCTGTGTTCTAAGCTCTGTATTCTAAGTTCTGTGTTCTAAGCTCTGTATTCTAAGTTCTGTGTTCTAAGTTCTGTGTTCTAAGTTCTGTCTCTTGCTGTCTTGTTACATCTGTATTTATACCAGTTGATTCAATCCTATCAATCTCTATTACAAAGGTTAGGGCGTTTCTTATCTCCATTCCAGGGAGTAAAGATTATGTAGCTTAAGCATGATTGTTCATAGTTAAAGTGATTAATTACCCGCCTGGCACTTAGTTGAGGGGTTTTATTCCCTCCCTAACTTCAGGGGAAAATCCCTACCTGGGGAAACAGCCTTTCTCAGAGAGGAGACCTTGGTTAAAACACATAGTGCCAAGAAGGTGAGCAAACATATTAAGAACAGTATGCCATATATGCCAGGCCCCTTGAAATAGCAAGGATGGACCGGCTCCCGGCAGATTATGACCAAAGGGGTTATTAGAATAAGTGAGAAAAAAATACAAGATTACTGGATGTCAAGTAATTAAGTGTCTAGAATGTTGGAAGGACGGTCTATGACATAGACTCTATGTAGACAAAGCACTAAATATTAGGAGAGTATTAGTGCTAGAGAGATTAACAGTGAGCTGAAATTTTTAAGGAATCAGGGAAGTGACCACGAGTTGGAAGATGACTGAAACAGTCAGTGTTGTGTAATGGTTGTAGTAGTCTGATGTCAAGAGTCAGCATTAGAAATTTTTAGAATTGGGGGGAGGAAAGATGATCTGGAAATTGAAAACAGAAAAAAGAGAACCTTCGGGTTCACTAGTATATGGAATGTGGTAAACAAAGCCACCACCAACACTTGGGATATCTGCGGGGAACCTAAAAGGAAAAGTGGATTTCAATTAAAGCAAGAAGATAAAGGAAATGTTTACTGAGTATTTAGTTTCTAAAGATTTTGGTGGTGAATAACAACGGTTTTCAGAAGGCAGAAAAGCTAGCTTTTTTGGAGTCAGAATAGATGCTCAGAGCCTTATATACACACATTGCAAACTCCAGAGCAAGCACTATAAAATTTTACCACGCTGTACAAATGCTGACCATAGAAATGTTGACACTGCTATTATTTCAGAGAAACTTATCAAAGAAATTTATTAGCATACATAAGAAAAGTAGTTGTGATAAAGAAGTGACACCAGCCAAAAACGTCACGTGAAAGGAACTGTAGAAAATATTTCATATCTGCGAGAGCACAAAGAATAAAATGTTAAAAGCTGGTCCCAACTTAGAAAGGAGTATGACAGTTTGCTAAGGCATGGGAAAGATGTTCAGGCTGTTCAATCAGAAAAAGTTGTACCACTATTCATGCAATTCTTAAAAAATGAAATAAACCACTTTAATTCTCAATGTTTCTAATATTTTAAACGATAATGTACTAAGTAATATTAATTTCACTATTTTTTATTCCCATATACATGTATATATATGTATATACATATATACACATATATATATCATCAACAGAAATATAAATTTTAATGTTTTGAGACAAAAAAATCAAAATTTTCCCTTTGATTCTGAGATTGTGCATGGCTTCAACTGGCAGAATGTTTTTATATATCCTGTGGTGTTATAATAAGCTATAAGTTTGCATTTACCTAGGATAAAAAATGTGGCATATCTACTTTGTTTCCACAAATATTAACTGATGGAGTCATCAGATTTTCCAATTATTTCATTTCCATTGAATATTGCCTACTTCACTGTTTCAGCACTTGAAACATTTATAAGGCTGCCAAACCTGTAACAAAATAAATAAATGAATAAAAATGAATTGTATGCTTCCTTTATCTTAAAAAAGGGACAATTACTTCATGAAGCAAATCTGTTATATCCAAAACTTATTTTTTTTTTCTTATTAGATGACTGTATTTAATTTAAAAGAGAAAAAGTGACAATAGCTAGGGTGATTCCTTATACCGCTGTGAGAATTCACAAGAGCCATCAACTGTCTAAAACCCTCAAGTTACCACTCGGCCTTCTGTTCCCAATTTCACCCAAGAGGTCATGAGTAATCTTGGCTTGTTCAGGACACCTCTGATTTTATGCCCAATGTCTTGATGTAACTATCTACAGTGCCTCCTTTCACACTCAAAAGTATTCTGGTTTGGGCAATAAATCATAAGGTTACCTTCACTGTAAGTTTCTTAAAAATAGTTGCATAATCTTCCTTTAATAAAGCATGTAAGCTTGTATTATTTACTTAAACAATATGCAAAGTAGAAACACAGCAGAATTTTCTTTGCTACAAAGGGACACAATATTGTGTATCACACAGGGTAATACCCTTGACTATAATTTGATTTTGCATTTATACTTTCCATTTCTTAGTGCCCTCTGAAAGCAAGGGACAGTACTATGAAAGGAAGGGTTAGGAAATGTAGCAGAACTTCTGAATTTCTAACCTCTGTGCTCTTAATTCCAAGGGTCTCCTTTTATTTAGAATAGGTATTTTGCTAAAAAAAAAAATGATTGTTTGGGGTACAGACACATGCTCTCATAATTTCTTGCCTTTTCTTTTTCATCTTTGATCATATATGGAGGATAACTGTCAGATAAGTATATCCAAAATTAGCATACCAGACATTCCTTTATTATTGACAAAATAGAAGAGACTAACTCACAGGTAAAATGCAAAATTTTGAAACATTTTCTGTCGTCTTATTTTTCTTGGGTAATGTACAATTCAGTTGCATCCAGGAGACAGGTGATGGAAGACAGCTAATGAACAGCTATATACAAAAGAAACATCAGTTACTATTCCTTTGTCTCACTGGGAGCTAATTCAAGTACAACAGAACCAGACTCATGTCATCAAAATTCCACTCAACAATCATTTAACTTCTTCTCGGTTCCTTGTCCCCTTTCCCTCAGTGAAACGTTAAAACCGTCTTTATTCTCAGGTTTCCTACTTAACACTATCACTCTTAACATTCAGCAAACAATAAGCAAAAACAGAGGTATCAGGTGAGCTATGGCCTAGTCCTCCAAATACCACCATCTCTACATCTGTAGAGATTCTAATTTTATTTTCGTCATCCACTGTGGAATGGGTTCCCATTCATTCAAGGCTAGCCTTTCCACTCTTTTCTAACTTACTACCTCCCTCTCCCCTACTCTTTTAATCTTTCCCTCTTCATTGGGCCCTATCCTGAAGTGAGTAAGTAATATCTTTAAAATTCTCCTGATGTCATGAATTTTCTTTTAGAGATATAAAAGGTAACATCTTCCATTACCCTCAAAGATTCTAAAGAGAAAACCTGGAGCTTAAGCTTTATTTTATTTCTTCTTCCTCATTTAGAATTTAAGCAATCTCTAACATTCTCCTTGAGCACTGTACTTCTCATTTTTTGTATATTAAATATCATAATTACAGTAAAATAACCATTTGCATTATTCTCGATTTGTTTTTATTCACCTTAGATCAAAGCTTCTGTAAGATGTATGAAGGAAGGGCTTATTATTATTACATCCCCAGAATTTAGTATATGTTGCCGACCTTAGTAGGCACAAGAAATATTTGAAAAATAATTAAATGTTACCAATAATTAACCCACATGACTTCATTTGTAATACTCTTGCCAGAGACATCTATTAATTGTTAACTAAGACTTCATTTTTTAGCTATACCTTAGGCTTTGAAAATAGGCAGACTAGAAGCTCGTGTTGCTCAGTGGTTAAGAGTTGACCTATAAACCAAGAGGTCAAGGTTTGATTCCCAGTCAGGGCACATGCTGAGTTTGCAGGTTTGATCCCCAGTAGGGGGCATCTAGGAGATAGCAGATAAATGATTTTCTCTCATCATTAATGTTTCAATCCCTCTCTCCCTCTCCCTTCTTCTCTGGAATGAATATATGTAAAAGAAAATAGGTAGACTAGGATTTGAGCCTGCATTCTGGTGCTTATTATTCATGTGACCTTAAGAAATTTACTTATGCTCTATGAACTTTAGTTTCCTGATCTGAAATTTAGGGATAAGGATACTTACAACTTAGACTGTTTTAAGGTCAAATAAAACATTAGCTAGAAAGGTCTTTTTTAGTTTTTGTGGCTCATTATAGGCATGTAATATATAGTATTTGCCATCATTTGTGTATTATTTAACTTTTTTTGAGGTATTTCCGCCATTGATTAAATTGTTCTTTAAACTGTCCCCCATTTTTTTAATCATCAGCTCCCATTGGATCATGTCTTCTTTTTTCTCCCTATTTTTTTAATCGTTTATTCTTAAATGCTTGTACTGGTTTTCCTATTTTCCTGCCCCACATGTAGTATGGATATATAGGCTTCTATCCTGAGTGGCTTCTCCTTTTCTCAGTTCATTTTGGATGTTGTCACCCAGTCTATCGATTTTTTTATTAAACAAAATGTTCCTTACGAGGTTCAAATACCCTTGATAATGGGGATCAGTACTTTATTCCTCTGGCATTCCCAATGAAAAGAACATGGTAATCGTTGGTAAATGTTTGGTAAGTAATTAATGTTCAGTAAAATTATGAGTAGATAATTTTTAAAAAATTCTCCATTACAGTCACCCCCCATTCACTTCCAAGCAAAATTACATTATATTCATGTGATTCTCACATAAATTTGACATATTAAAGTTTACACTCGATATCAGTTCCAAACATAAAAATACCACACATATACCAGATCATTGTTTTCTTATGTATAAATTTGAGATTAAAAAAACTTAAGACCTGGCCAGTACTGTTTAGTGGTTAGAGTGCCAGCCTATGCTCTGAAGGGTCATGGGTTTGATTCCCAGTCAAGGGCAGGTATCTGGGTTGCAGGTTGATCCCCACCCCGGTGTGGGCACGTGCAGGAGGCAACCAATTAATGCATTTCTCTCACATGGATGTTTCTCTCCCTCTCTCCCTCCTTCTCTCCTTCTCTTTATTCCTTTCACCTTTTCTAAAAAATCAATGAAAAAATATCCTCAGGTAAAGATTAACAAAACAAACAAAAAAGAAGATAGAAAATTTAAAATTATCATAGTCTGCTCCCTTTCCTTCATACCTCATATCTAATTAATTTTAGTCTAAAAACAATTTTATCTCTTAATTTTTCTTAATTTCTTAACAATTTATTAATTTTTCTCTGATTGAGATGTTTCTCTTATTAATAAATTAAATTATTAAAAATAATATGTTAAAACAATGAAATGTCTCCCCTTTGATATTCTAAGTACAATCTTATAGAAAAAACAGCACAGTTTTTTAAAATCAAGCTATTGAAGAAACCTTGTACTTCAGCCAGGCTTAAAGTGTTCTCAAATGGACATACAAAATGGATAAGACATTTTTTATCTATATGGAGCTGAAAGTCTAACAAAACAGACACATTTATAGCTAGTGACTAAAAAATAGTGATGTGGGAATATGAAAGAGAAGGCCACTAATTGAACCTGCTGTGATGGAAGTAAATTTCCAAGGAAGCAACAAAGTTAAAATTTGAAAATAGAGTTGGGTTAATCAAATTCAAAAGGGACAAAATAAAGATTCAGTCAATGCCCTGGCCAATGTTGCTAAGTGGTTAGTGTGTCAGCCATACACCAAAGGGTCTCTGGTTTGATTGCTGGTCAAGAGCATGTAACTGGGTTGCAAGTTAGAGCCCCATCCCTGGTCAGGGCATGTGCAGGAGGTAACCAACTAATGTTTCTCTCTCACATCAACATTTCTCTTCCTCTCTCTTTCATTCTCCCGCTCTCCCTTCCTCTCTGTTCCTTCCATTTTCTTTTAAAAGATATCAATGGAAAATATATCCTTGGGTAAGGATGAACAACAACAACAACAATAATTATCTATCTATCTATATACAAAAGCCTAAGCAACCGGAACGACCGGAACGACCAGTCGCTATGACATTCACTGACCACGCTCAATGCAGGAGCTGCCCCCTGGTGGTCAGTGCTCTCCCACAGCCAACCTCCCTTAGCTGGCCAACCTCCCATGGCCCCTCCTCCTGGCTGGCCAACCTCTTTTGGTCTCTCCCCCCGGCCAGCAGAACCCAGGCTGGGACAAGGAACTAAGGGTGGGTGGCAGCTGATGCAGCCCCTTTCCCAGAGGGTCCAAGGGCTGGCTCCCTCCTTGGGGCCAGTGGCCAACCTCCTGTGCCCTGTCCCTCCCCCAAGCTGGCAGGCCCTGATCAGCCCGTCTCCTGCTCACTGAGGTGGTGGCGTGGCGGTGAGGGAAGGAGAAGGGGGGAGGAGGGGAACCATGTGATGGCAGGGTGCCAACAATGGTGGTGGCAATGGCTGATGTCCATTCCTTCCATGCCTGGCCCCGCAACCATCGCCTCCTCTCCAGCCCATCCCTGATTGGCCTGGCTAAGATCGGCCCTGATTGCCAGCCAGGCCTCGAGACCTCACCTGTGCACCAATTTTGTGCACCGGGCCTCTGGTTCAGGTAAGCCTATCCTATATAATAAAAGCCCAGCAACCAAAATGGCAGAATGAGCAGAATGACCAGAGACCAGAACCACTGCGGCCCCTCACCTCGCCCTCCAGCGGGGACCCTCCACCCCGATTGGGGGCAGGACCAGCTGGCAAACCGCCCATGGCCTTTCGCCCCAGCTGGCCCCAGGGGGGACCCTCACCTTGATTGGGGGTTTGGCCGGCCTGCAAACCCATAGTAGCCCCTTGCCCCAGCCATCCCTGCCCCTGAGTGGGGACCCCCACTCTGATCTAGGGCCCCCATCAGGGCAGGCTGGCCAGCCCACACCCAGATTGAACTGAGCTTCTATCCTATATAATAAAAGGGTTATATGAAAATTGACCCTAAAGGTGGAACAACCAGATGACTGCTCGACCAGTCACTATGAGGTGCACTGACCACCTCTCGGTCCCTTTCACCAGCCAACAGACTTCAATCACCCAATGGCAAATGGCAAACCAGGAGTGGGTGGCAGGGGATGGGTTTGGCACCATGCCAAGGTTCCCACCCCACTAGTTGCCCCACACACAGAGGGCAACCCACGGTGGGGACGGGGCCAGCAAGCTAGCAGGAACGGCTGACCTCTCGGGCCCATCCCCCAGCCATCAGGCTCCGATTGCCCAATTGCAAACAGGGAACTGGGGGTGGGTGGAGGCTGGGGAAGATGGCGCTGATCACAGGTCAGGCCTAGGGACCATATTCATGCATAAATTTTGCGTGTCGAGCCTCTAGTAAAATCATAAAGCGTAAAAATCACAGAGACATGAACTAAATTCAAGACCTGTTGGGCTGGAGCATGCTATATATTACAGCAAATTAAATGAGTGAGTGTGCTGGGATAGTAAGGGTTCTAGCATTCCATAGTTAGGAATTTGGTATTTTTTTGACACTCAAATATTAATAAAATAACAGCAAAATAATCATGAGTATTGCAGTAACTTTATTGATTTACCTGTATTTTAAACTTAATAACACTAAGGGCTATAACATGTGAAAATAAGATAAATGATTTATATGATTATACCAAATGGATTAGTCAAGACTATAAATTTTCATCAGTGTACAACAGCACAAAGGAGGAAAGAGAATCCCATGATTTAAGTTGTATCAATAGTCCATTAACATATGCCTCACAACTGAAACTAAGTCATTACACTCTGGTTCTATTAGAACCAATAATCACAGGGAATAAGAAATACCAAAGAAATACATATCCATAACTTACCTGCTATGATGTGTTTCATGGACTGGTAAGTCTAATAATTATATGTCCTTGCTATTTGAACCTGTGGTATAGGAATTCTCCAATGACTCCACTCAGAGGGAAGAGGCACACAGAAAGGGCATAAAAGCCATTCATTAGGAATAGCCAAGGATTAATATTGCCACTCAAATTCTTCTTACCCGTACCTCAACAATACCAGGAAATGTATACAGACATACCATAAATCATAACACAGACCTGAGTTCTATTGCCATTTTTCTCATTGTCACATATCAGGGAGGAGAAATTCTTCCCACTATTTCCGTACCATATGCATGACTCTGAACATGAGCAAGATCTGAGGTCTGAAAATCAAATGAGAAAGTCTTTGAGGCTGGCACACACATATGCATAATATGTATTCACAGATATACAATCAATAAGCATACATATTGGAATTCCAACATCTTCACTATATATTGAAAGGTTAAAAGGTTACATATTGAATGAGGTGACTGCTTAAAATATGAAAGAAGAGAATGTGTCTGAAATGAGGTGGGATTTGAATCTGAAACAATCTGAGACAGAAAAAGAATCATAGATACATAGGAAGAAAAATGAAGAAGCACTCAGAGAAAACTTCAGTATGTTTGAATTGCTTCAACAGGACCTAGTCCATCTCTATTCTGTTAAATTTTCTACAGAAGCCTCATCACTTCACTGTTTTTAGTGATTTACCTGATCTACACTAATAAAAGAGAAACATGCAAATTGGTGTCACTCCACTAACCTTCCCATTGGCTAATCAGGGCAATATGCAAATTAACTGCCAGCCAAGATGGCAGCCGTCAGCCAGGCAGCTTGAAGTGTACATGAGGCTTGCTTGCTTCAGTGACAGAGGACTCCAACATTCCCCGCCTGCCGCTGCCAGCCTCTGAACTTGCAGTTTAAAACATTGTTACAAATATAGACGCTAAACAAAACTCCAGAAACCTGCTTTCAGCCAGCCGGGATCTCAGAGCTGGAGTTGAAACAGTGTTTCAATTGTAGAACCCAAACAAACCAGATACCTGCTTTCAGCAGCCGAGGCCTAAGAGCTGGAGCCAAGCCTCAGAGCTAAAGCTGGCCCAGAATAAAAAAGAAAAAAAGGAGCGGTTGGGAGCTTCAGTCATCCGCCAGCCTGAAAACAGCCCTCAGCCCCTCACCCAGACTGGCCAGGCACCCCAGTGGGGACCCCCACCCTGAAGGGTGTGTGACCATCTGCAAAAAGCCATCATCCCCTCATCCAGGCTGGCCAGGCACCCCAGTGGGGATCCCCACCATGATCCAGGACACCCTTCAGGGCAAACCAGCCGGCCCCCACCGGTGCACCAGGCCTCTATCCTATATAGTAAAAGGGTAATATGCCTCCCAGCAATGGGATTAGCGGAGCTGCGAGGCCTCCTGGCACTGGGATCAGCGTGACAGGGGGCAGGGCCACAACCTCCCTATCTGCCCTGCTCTGTTTGTGACAGTGGTGGCTCCCCAAACCCCTGATCCACCCTGCTCTGTGGGTGATAGAGGGCGGCGCCCCAACCGCCCCCCACGGGCCCTGTTCTGTGTGTGAAATGGGGTAGAGCCATAACCTACCCATCAGCCCTGCCCTGAGTGTGACAGGGTGTGGCGCCCCAATACCTTGCTCCGACCTGCTCTGTGTGTGACAGGGGACGGTGCCCCAACTCCCCTATCGGCCCTACTCTGTGAGTGACAGGGGGGAGCTCCTCAACCCCCTGATCGGTCCTGCTCTATGCGTGACAGGGGGGAGCTCCCCAACTCCCTGATGGACCCTGCTCTGTGCATGACAGGATACGGAGCCCCAACTCCCCTGATGGGCCTTGCTCTGTGAGTGACAGGGGGCAGCGCCCCAACCCCCTGATTGGCCCTGCTCTGTGCATGAAAGGGGGTGGCGCCGCAACCTCCCCATCGACCCTGCCTTGAGTGTGACAGGGGGCGACGCCCCAACCCCCCAATTGGCCCTACCCTGAGAGTAACTGAGGGTGGCATTGCAACTTCCTGATCTGCCCTGCTCTCTGCCTGACAGGGGGCGGCGCCCCAACTCCCCAATCAGCCCTGCTCTGAGCCCAACCAGGGCCTGCACCTAGGGATAGGGCCTGCCCTCTGCCACCCAGGAGCTGGCCTAAGCCAGCAGGTCGTTATCTCCCGAGGGGTCCCAGACTGCGAGAGGGCACAGGCCAGGCTGAGGGGCCCCCCTGCCCCCCGAGTGCACAAATTTTTGTGCACCGGGCCTCTAGTATATATATGAAAAGCCAGTGACTGGAACACTGTAATGAACTGAACAACCAGTCGCTATGACGCCCACTGCAGCTAGCAAACCAGCCCGATCAGGGGATGGAGCCAGCTGGCCAACCTCCCGTGGTCCCGTCCCCCAGCTGGCCCCACCTCTGATCAGCCTGCCCCACCCTAAGCGGCCTGCAGCCCCTCCTCCTCCAGCCCCGCCCCTGACCACCCCCTCCCCCTACTCCAATAGGTGACAGGGCCGGCCAGCCAACCTCCTGCAGCCCCTCCGCCCTGGCTGGCTGCATCCCTGGTGCACCCCCCCACCTCAATTGGCCCGCAGCCCCACCCCTCAGCTGGCCTCACCCTGATTGCCCCCCACTACCCCAACAGGGGGTGGGGCCAGCCAGCAAACCTCCTGCAGCCCCTCCCCTCACCTGGCCTCACCCCTGATTGGCCCTCCTATCCCAATCGACCCACAGCCTCTTCCCCAAGCCAGCTCCGCCTCCTAATGCCCCCTCCATCAGGGGCAGGGTTGGCCAGCCAACCACCCATAGTCCCTCCCCCAGGCTGCTGGCCCCCTATTAGCCTCCCCCACCACATTCTGGGGCAGGGCTGCCTGGCCCACTGTCCACAGCCACTCCCCAAAACTGGCCCATCCATGATCAGCCCCCACCACCCCGATCGACCTGTGGCACCTCCGCCCAACCAGCTCTGCCCCTGATCAGCCCCCCCACACACACACCAATCAGGGGTGGGGCTGGCCGACCAACCACCCACAGCCTCCCCCCATGGCTGGCCCCGCCCCCATTCACCCCTCCACCCCAATAGGGGGAGGGGCCTGCTGGCCAATCTCCCAAGGCCCAGTCCCTCAGCCGGCCCAGCCCTGATCGCACCCCAAATGGGGTGGGCCGGCCAACCTCCCACTGTCTTCTCGCCCCGACAGGCCCCGCCCCAATCAGCCCTGATTGGTGCTGGGCCAGCCAGACCCACCTGTGCACAAATTCATGAATTGGGCCTCTAGTGTTTCTATAAGACCATGCTTTAAATTATACAATGTTTTTCTATTGTTTCCAGGTTAAAATCCAAACCCTCTCCATTATCTACAGGAACTCTAATGACAGTCCAGTTTTATTTCTTATTAATCTTATTTTGAATACCTTGAACTTCTCCTGAGACTGTCATGCCATATTGCTCATCACTTTTATTTCAATATGCCTTCCCTTCCTGCACTGAATATTGTACCCTAACCCAGTCTGGACTCTTCCCTCCAACTATATTATTTCTTGCATTGTATATTTATGTTTACATGCACTTATTACACTGGATTGTAATTATCTCTTTACTCATCTGTTTTTTCTATCATATCATTAGTTACTCAAGGCAAAGAATTACTAAACGGTTCTACAGAAAACTTTATATTCTTAGAGTCTTCACCCAAGTGGTAGGCAATTTTTTTAAATAAAAGAAGGTAAGAAAGGAAAGACTGAAGAATGAAAAGGAGATAAATCAGTGAGAAGGCAAAGGGCTTTTAGCAGAGGAATGTGTATGGTTCCTCTATGAAGAAATTGGATACTCTATCTAGCAAAGCCTAGGTTTCTGCTATGACTGTTAGTGCCACAGTTTATATCCAGCTTCATTTGAAAAAAAAAGAAAAGTTGTCTGTTCATACATTCCAGTCCGGTCTTCCACCCTTAAAATATCCAGGTAGATTTTTCATCGCCAGAGAGATCTAACAGAAACCTACCCTCTTTTAACAGCGGTATAGTCAACACAAACCAGGATCCCTTTCTTTCTTACGTATGAAGAGAGAAGCAAGAATTATAAGGTATATTACAGCACCAGCACATGAGTGAGAATTACCATGATAAAAAAAAAGGAAAAGACAAAAGCAAATAACCCGTCTACCACCCAAAAAAAATTTTTTAGGAAAGACAAGAGTCATATTTTAAAATACTCCTCTGAGTAATATACTGAGATGACTTTAAAAGTAAGAACAGACTGCTAAAAAAACAATTAAACAATTCTCAAGAATCATGCAAGGTTTTATCAGGTTAAAAATATGATTGTGAAAATAATAATCAATATAAAGATTGAAAAAAAAGTTTAGACAATCTCCCATAGTAAAAAAATAATACAGAAAAAGAAAAAGACAATCTGCAAATCTTTAACATTTAAAGCAAAGAAGTCATGAAAAGAACAGAGGAAATGGGGTAGAAAGTATGAACTTACTAGTAATAGCACATATTTTCCCTAAATTTGAAAGACATAAACTTTCATATTGAGAGGACCCACAGTGTACACACCAGTAAATGATTAGAAAACACTCATACCCAGAATATCTTAAAACTTCAGCTCCCCAAAACGAAGAAAACATTTTAAAAGCTAAAATCAGGTCATTTTATAGAACGAAAATCACACTGGGAACAGACTTCATATTAACAGCATTGCTTGCTAGAGACAATGAAGCAACATTTTCAATATTCTTGAAGAAACTCCTTTTAACCTCTAAATTTATATGAAGCCATATGAGGACCTTCTCAGACATGCAAATATGCAGAAGATTTATTTCCTATATATCCAGGTAAAGTCCATTAAAATGGGAGCATAAATAAATCAGAGTGTAAAAAAAGGAAAAAGAAGAAAGAAGGGATTCAAGAAAACTGAATCTAACCCAAGAGAGATAGATGATTGATAGATAGATAGATGATAGATAGATAGATAGATAGATAGATAGATAGATAGATAGATAGAAATTAGTTTGATAAAAAATAATAGTTAAACAGCATATAAAGAAACTAAATGAAGAAAGACAGAAAGTGTTTTTTTTATAGAAGAATTTATAAATGGTTATCAGATTTCCATGATTTTTTAACTTCAAAAATATTTAAAGATTTTGAACACAGTGAAAAGGCTGGGGAAAATTAGACAACTCTGTTATTGATGAGACTATGAAACAGATAAATGATTTCACTCACCATTTTCCTTCTTCTTTATACCTTCATCGTATTTTGAGGTAAATTTTTTCCACGATTTTAATGTATTTTCAAACATATTTTTGAAAGCAACTTGCTCATTTGAGATATTTTTATACATATCCCTGTATAATATTATATTTCTCTCCAGCTGTTCTATTATGTTTTGTTGCCTGTCATAAGCTGTTCTGTTGCTGGAGAAGAGTTCATGGTAATCTATAATTCACAGCAAGAGGTTAATTAGATTTTCACACACAGCCTTCCAATAAATTATATTAATATCAGAATAGTTATTTAACAATTTAATGGAAAAAATAGAATAATAGCTACATACATGTAGAACATCAACCTTTCATACTTTTAATATTAAAATTAATTGAGATAAAAGTGACTTGTTACTCAATGCAGAACTAGTTCCTTATTAAAGGAAATGCCCAAATAAATTTAAATGCAAAACAAAAAGATCCATTTGAAGCAGAGATTTCAAAATAAAAGAGTGTAATTCAGTATTTAGTTTATAAAAATGCAAACCACACTTTTTAGATTAGGAGATATTATAATATATTGCCGAACCTATGTATTATGTATTTCAGGTTCTTGAATAGATATAACCATAATTTAAACCCCAGTCTCTGAATTGAAGAAAAAAATTAGAAAGACAGGGGTCATGCCTCTAAGATCTTCCAGAAGATTCAGAATGCTTGGTAATTTATCTATTTTGTGTATCATTACAACGTAATCTGGCTTTTCTTGATAGACTGATATTAGTTTACCTGGCAGTCCTTCAAATTATTAAAATCTTTCATTTTTCAAGTTTATATAATGTGTCAGAGTAATGTAATGTTCCTGATAAAACCAAGGGACAGCCTCCGAGAAAAGTGGAAACTTACTCATTACAATCAGGGTTCCCAGTCCAGCCAGCACTACCAGGTTCAGCATTAGCAAAATGAAAGCAACAAGGCCCCACACTTTCAATGGAACAGAATGTCCTCCGGGGAGGCCTGGATTCAGGAAAACAACATGGATTTTAGAAAGCAGACACAAAAGCTGCTAGTAACTTTGTGGGCCCTTAGAAACTGTTCATCACATTCATCACTGAGGAAACAAAAGAAGCAACCTGATTCTCACTTAAGAACCCCCCAAAGCTTCATGAATTGGTATTACCTGCTACTTTCCATGTAGAAATATGAGTGACCTGAAAACTGAAAATGTACCTAAAAATCTATGTAAGATACAAGTAGACTCCCCTCACCCTGTATTTTCTCCCCCATTTCATACAACTGAGTTACCTTCTCTCTTTTTTCTTTATTGTTTAAAGAATTACATATAGTATTACATATGTCTCCCTTTTCCCCCACTGACCCCTCTCAGGCTACTCCCATCCCCTAGCACAGGCCCTCACCCCACTAGTGTCTGTGTCCATTGGCCATGCCCATATGCATGCATACAAGTCCTTTTGAGTTACCTTCTCTTATTCATGCTCATAAAACACTGTCTGTAGCAATGAATTGGAGGATTCATCTCCAGAGCCATTAACTGGCCAAGAGGGGAGGAGGGGTGTTAAACTACAAACACTGACAACGAGTTCTTCAGTGAAGGCTACAATTTAGCAAACCCATCTCATATACACTGGGGTCCCACAAATTTGATTTGGTATCACACTCTTAAATGTTTCTTATAAAGTTAAACATACCCCCAACCCAAACTAGAATTCTACTCCTGGGTTGGTATTTACCTATTGGAATTTCTTTAAAATGTCTACACAAAGACTTGCACATCAAAGAAGCTTTAGTCATACTAGACCCAAATTGGAAGCAACTAATAGATAAATATTGCGGTATATCTATGAGATGGACTACTACTCGGCAATGAAAAGAAATTAACTACTGATTTACACAACAAGGATGAATCTCAAAAGCATTATGCTTATGAAAGAAGACAATACTGAAGAGTATATGTTATTTGAAACCATTTATATAAAATTCTAGACCAGGCATGATAGTTCAGGATGATAGAAAGTAGGTCAGTGATTAGGATAACTTGAAGGTACACAAGGTGTCTTTTTAAAAAATGTATTTTTTATTGATTTCAGAGAGGAAGAGAGAGGGACAGAGGGATAGAAACACTGATGAGAGAGAGACATCCATCAGCTGCTCCTGGATACCTCCTACTAGAGATAGAGCCCACAACCCAGGAATGTTCCCTGACTGGGAATCAAACCATAACCTTCTGGTACATAGGTGGACACTCAACCACTGAGCCACACCAGCCTGGTACACAAGGAGTCTTTTGGGTGGTGGTATATAGGTATATGCTTGTTAAGTACAATGCATTTAAAGTGAGAATATTACTTTGTATTTAAATTACACTTCAATAAGGTTGACTTGAAAATAAAATTTTTAAAAATAATCAGAAAAGTAAGATTTTTCATTTACACACAAAATAGAGTGTTATAAAAAGAAGCCTTTGGAAAACAAGAATTTGTTTAAATAAAATGATACCAAAAACATTTTATTGATAGAAAAATTATAAGAGAGTTTAAGAAAATCACTCATGAATTGTAACAAAAGGATAAAATGATTTAAAAAGGGGAGGGAGGGAATAAGAAAATGAGATTTAATAATATAAAAATAAGAAAAATCCAGAAAAGGCTATGAAAACTCTGGGGTAGATGCAAAAAATCATAAAAAAGAGATCGTTTCCCACAACTAAAGAACATTAGTTTATCCTCCTTACTTCGTTTCTTGACATTTTTTTATCTTTTATTTTTAAAAGTCATCTCTAGCCAGGCTGGGGTGGCTCAGCTGTTGAGGTCGACCCAGAAACCAAAAGGTTGTTGGTTTGATTCCCAGTCAGGGCATATGCTGGGGTTGCGAGCTCGATCCCCAGTAGGGGGCGTGCAGGAAGCAGCTGATCAATGATGTTCCTCTCTCATCGATGTTTCTGTCTATCTATCCCTCTTCCTTCCTCTCTCTCTAAAAATTAATAAAAACATATTTAAAAACAATAAAATAATCTCTAATTTTTATGCTCCAACATCTCCCCCTCCTCCCGCCTACCCTCCCCCCTCAACGCCCCCAACACACACACACACACACACACACACACACACACACACACACACACACACACATTCTTATTAATTATTTCTGGAGCCAGTGGGTCTATTTACTCAAATAGGTCTTACCTCTCACCGCTATGCTTTCTGGCAACTCAGCTGTGCTCTCAATGCTTGTTGGTCCATTTTCAGCTGCATTATTCAGCTCCAATTCTGGCATTTCATAGTTATCTTTTCAGGGGGAAAAGTTAAAGTGTTTTTTTAAAAAAACACTCCTGGCTCTGATCTCTTTTTCTCTTTCTAACTATTCAGATATTCCCAGTGTTTCTGCTTGATTCTGATGATAGATATTTTTAAATAGACAAACTTTTTGTGAAACTTTACAAAAATGAAATTCAAACAACCTACCCCGATGTATGTAAAGAATAAAATTCTCATAAACATTTTAATAACGATTGCTAATTATTGGGAAATATGTGACTGAACATGAATTGCTTCTCCAGTTTTATAAGCTCTTGAAGTCAGTTGCCTATGGTATTAATTGGATGCTGATGATATAATACCTCTCCCTAAATACATACAGTACCTTCATCAAACACCATGGAGAAGATGACTCTGTTTGGACATTTGTTTCTAACACATTATCTACCAACCTGATACTTAAAATTCTATAATCAGATTTGTTTATATGGAGAGCTTTTTCTTCATCATTTGAACATAAAATACTTTGGGGTAAATTAGTAAATTAAAAATTCCACATATTTATAGAAGATATAATTTCCTATTAAGAGTAAATGGAATTAAAAATATACAGAAGTATTGAAATATGTAAATAATTTATAAATAACAAAAGTGGTCTCAGGAATGTATAAGAAACCATGTGTCCCATTAAAGACATTTCAGTAAATATGATTCTGATGTTTTCCAAAATTATCTTCCTACTGCTTCACTGTTATCTCTAACTTTCTAGGGATTGAATTGCTGAATAAAACAGACTGCAATTATGTGGACTGGAATTATACGATGTTGAGATAAGGAACTTTCAGTCTTATTCCTTCTCAGAAAGAAAAAAACACGTTTACAACATCACAGCGTAGAGTGAGATGGTCCTATGAACCTCATAGCATATGTCTACTTTATATCTTTTAGCAGTTAAATAAAAATCCTGGAGAGTTATCCTCATGCTATTACTTTTTCCCCTTCCCCTAATAGCTTATAATCTCTAAAAAAAATATAAGATATGCTATTGTGGTGACACCAGACATCTGGATTCCCAGAGGCTTAGACCAGAGTCTTTTTACACACTCTCATGACCTCGCAAACTAAATATGCTCAGTAAAATTAGGCTCTGGCATAGCGACTTCACTATGAACTAGCACTCCATAAAGGAATCTTGGAGTTGAAGACAGGAGAACCCACCAGTATAGGCGAATGATCTCTTCTCTGGTCTGTCAGATCCTGCTTAGAGGATCTTACCTGTTCTCTTGAGACTGCAGCTCTCCTGAAGTTTCGTTGACTGAGAAGGATTTGGAAATTTGAGGGTAGCGTAAGTCACTTCCTCAGACATTACTGAACAAATAAAGCACAATTCAATCACCCTGTGTGCTGTGCTGTCCCACTGACGTTCGCAGGAGCTGCTGTTGTTGGGTGATCTGGGCATGCAGGGACTTCGGTGAGTGAACTACCTTTGTAAAAACCAAGCAAAAAAAATAGTGTCAAAAACAGAACTGTTACTTCTGCATGCATCATATCTCCCTTTTTCTAACTTCCTCCAGTAAAACACCAAGTTGAAGAAATGGTCTTAAGAGAAAAGCATAGGTTTTAAACATAAACTAGTTGGTGTTTTTTTTTTTTTTTTTTTAATTTGTGGAATAACCATACGGATCTCCAGACTTGAGAGTACCCTGTGAAAATACAAATACAGGTATATTTTCTTCTGCATATATAAAGTTGTTAATCACATTGTGCCCATGAGAACAGCGTTATAATTGTGTGTAACCCACTACGAATTTCTAGAAAACCACAGGTGAGTTAATGCTCAGTGTGCTAGGGTGAGGGACTGCGGCATGGAAGGGTTACAGAATGTTACAGAATGTGCTAAGGGGTGGAAACGGGACATGAGAAATTGAATGTGCTGGGAGGGGGGACTGACGTATGGAGGATTGTGTCAGGGTTAGGAACCATGGAAGAAAAATTGCTAGATTGTCTTAGAAAAACAATGTGTTATGATACACTCCAGCCAGGTGTGACTCTGTTTACCACCCCCCCCCCTTTGTGCTTATGAACTTTCTGTGAACTTCTAAGGTAACACTGTTTTGCTATAAAGGATCATACTGCACCCTTGATCTCTGCCACATGCTCCGAAGCTCCCAGAGGGGAAGATAGGTGCTGTGGTCAGCTGGCCAGCTTAATAAAGGCTCTCAAATTTAAATTCTGAGTCGGTGGTCTATCTCGTTGAGCCAACCCATAACACTCACCAAAATGTTTTTCTTTCCTTTTTACTTCCTATTTTTCTGGGTTGAAAAGAGTCCTGAGAAGTTAAAAGCAGGATATTAATGAACAATAGAAAATCAAGAAAAAGTAGTACTAAGAGAAAGAGAAGAAAAACTGGGAGGCTACTAAGAATTAAGGTAATTAGATATTCACCCTCCTCACCTCAACACACACACACACACACAAAGCAGCCACCGAAACAAAGGGAGATATATTTGAAAGTGGCAGTTCTTTCTTTAGAGTGTACCCATTAAGATAGGATCTGAATTCTAATTACTTGAATTCTGGCAGGAAGGTAGGGCAAGTATTTATATGAAGCTATTTTAAATAGTGCAGAGCTGAAACAGGAGACCAAGTGCTTTGCTTGAGATCCAGCACCAGATTAGTCAGTGAAGAGCATGTTCACTGTGACCTGAATATCTAGCGTAGTGACAACCATACAATGCATTGGTTCAACCAGTATCTGTCAATAAATAAATTTTTAACCCATTCATAAATAATCACAGTACTGCTCAGTGAAAAGCAATAGTTAAATATTCTTATTAATAAAAACACCTGCGTTGACTTTCAAGAAAGATTGGGCACTGTGCAATAGGTTGACAGAACCATCTCCCACAGAATTAAAAACAAAAGGAACTATAAGAAATAAATTTAGGAAAGTTTGTGCCATGATAATCGACACAAGGAAAAAGACATTACCTTTTACTACAAAGCTTGAAACAAATTTTTTTTTCTTGAAATGTTGTAACGTACCCCGCGAATCACAGAAGGACGCCTCAAGAAGTCGAATTAAAGAGTCACATTTATTGCAATCCAGGACTATGTGGGGCCATTCCCAAATCTCATAGTGATAAAATGGTGGCAAAGCCAGACTTATATAGGCAAAGATCACAAAGGTATTGATTACATCTCAAGGTTTGGAATGGGGAACCTGGTTTGCAAAAAAGCAGTTTACAGAAGCAGAATTAAGCATGTTAATTACAGTTTTGGGTCTCGGGGGTCACTGAATTGACAGAAACACCTTATCTAGAGCCCTCAGGTCTTGAGACCACTGGGTTGCCAGGAACTCATTATCTAGAGCCATCGACGTAATTTAGAGTAATTGCACTGTCCTGGTCTTGGGACCACTGAGTCAGCTGGGACGAATTATCTGTGGCCACTAAAACAATTTAGGATAATTGTGCAGTCCTGTTTCTCAGGTACAAAAGAATGTGCTTTGATAACCAGTAAGATAACAATCAATGGGATAGTCACGTTACAATCAATAAGGCATTCAATTGAATGGGATGACTTATACAATTTAGAAAATCAAAGTAACCTGTCCATTGTTAAACAAAGCAAATAGGTACCATACTTCAGAAACATGTTTTAAAAACAGAACAGATAAGACGCACTTAAGAAATATTCATAATTCATTGTGATTAATTACAAATGCAGTGAGGCTTTCCTTTTGACCTAGGAAGAAACTGTATTCTGATTGAGGGTTGGGAGTGGAGGCAGAGATAGGGACAGGAAATATGTGGGTAACATGGGATTTAGTGCTTTCTTTAATATTAAGGAAAGTAGAGAAGTCTCTAGGCCTTACTTTACTTATTTCTTAAAAATGAAATGGACTTATCTAAAGCTTTTAACCTATTTTTCTAAAGTTATATGATACTCAACTTCTTCTTCCAAGGATAAATCTATTCAATGCTTCTTTGAGGTCTTAAAGAAGCTTTGAGCCAGTAGTTTGACTGTTTGAACTTGACACAGAGATAGACAAAGGTCTATGCACTGCATAGTCATTTCATCGCTATTTATAAAAGTGAGAAATGGACAAAAGAGATAAATATTAAACAAAAGGAAAAATTGAAATTCTAGACTATTCAGATAATGAAATCAGAAGTGAAGTTGATGTTTTGTTCCTCTCTTCTTAACAGAAATTATTATATTAATGATGGATAATGTCTGGATAAAAATGGGGAAAAATAAAAGCCCTACAAAGATAGAAACTTTGGAGAAATATTTCACTGTTGTATGTTTGTTTCCCCCCCTCCCCGACGTCCCGGGTTGTTCAGGGTTCAGGATCTGGAAGAGGAGATGCACACAAATGAAAGAGAAGAGACAAGAGATAATTTGGAAATATTGGGGGGCCAGGCGGGCAAGTCCAACTCAAGGGGAAGGACCTCCATTGGTGCCTAGGCCTTGCCAGCCTTTTACTCAGCTTTGGTTAAACATAAAGCCCTTAGTCAGGCAGGTAATAGCAGTAGCAGACAGGCTATCATAAAGGTCAGTAAATACTAGAAGGATTTACTCTGAGACTATTTGATCAGGAAATAGCTTGAGCTCCCATTGTCAGGACTAGACAATCTGTGCATAACTCAGGCCCTGCCGTGGGTACAAGGGTCACCAGCCTTCTGGGATCCTTGTTTGCACTTCTCTGCTAGTGAAGACAGTGGGTGGTGTCCTGCATTTCCAGCACTTGTATGCATGCATATAAGCATAACCAATGGACATAAGCCACTGGGGGTAGGGGAGGCCGGGGGAATGTCAAGGAGGGGAAAAAGAAGGAGACATATGTAATACTCTTTGTAATACTTTAAGCAATAAAACAAAATAAAAAAAAAAGAAGATAAATAAATCCCAGATACCTGCTTCCAGCCGCTGTGGCCTCCGCTCAAGGAACGTCTGGGAGCCTGGGTTTCCAGGGGCCGTGGCCAACCGACAAATAGCCATCAGCCCTTCACTCAGGTTGGCCAGGCACCCCAGCGGGACCCCCCATCCTGAAGGTGGTGTAGCCAGCCTGCAGACAGCCCTCAGCCCAACACCAAGGCTGGTCACACCCTCATGGGGTGAGGGTCCCCACTGTGGGGTTTGGCCAGCCTGAAAACAGCCATCAGCCCCTCACCCAGGCTGGCCATGCCCTCTCAGCGGGGACTCTCACCCCATGGGGGCATGGCTGGCCTGCAAACCACCACAGGAACCCCCAACCTGATCTGGGACACCCTTCAGGGCAAACCAGCCAGCCCCCACCAGTGCACCAGGCCTCTATCTAAAGTAAGGAAAGGGTAATATGCTAATTAGACTGGGAGACCTTCTTGGAGACCTTCCAGAAGTTCTTCTGGACAAAGCCATGGTGGCAGGGCTGGGGTAGAGATGGTTAGAGGCCAAGAGGGGAGGGAAGTTGTGGGTGATCAGGCTGGTGGAGGGCGGGCCCATTGAAGGTAAGCAGACCAGCAGGTGGGCCAGTTGGGGGCAAGCAGGATCAGTGGGGGTCAGTTAGAGGTGATCAGGACAGCAGGGGGGGAAGTTTGGAGTGAGTAGGCCAGCAGAGGGCAGTTGCAGGCAAACAGGCCAGTGAGGAGGGAAGGTAGGGGTGAGCAGGCCAGCGGGGGGGGGGCAGTTGGGGGTGATTAGGCTGGAGGGGGAGGCATTTGGGGGCAAGCAGGCTGGCAGCAGGGGGCAGTTGGAGGTGAGCAGGCTGGCAGGCAGAGTGGTTAGGGGCAATCAGGCAGGCAAGCAGGCAGGTGAGCGGTTAGGAGCCAGCAGTCCCGGATTGCAAGAGGGATATCCGATTGCTGGTTTAGGCCGATCCCTGTAAACCGGCAGTAGGAGATCCTTCGAGGGGTCTCAGATTGTAGAGGGTGCAGGCCAGGCTGAGGAACACCCCCTCCCCCGTGCACGAATTTCGTGGACTGGGCCACTAGTTTATAATAATAAAAGTGTAATATGCTAATTAGACCAGACAGACAAACGAACTTCCTGATGAAGCAGGGCTGCGAGGGCTGAGCCTCATGCATGAATTTAAGCATCGGGCCTCTAGTATTGTCATAAGTTCTAACTCTGAGCTGGCTCTTCATCTGTGCTTTTAAACAGCCCTTAGTCCTTTCCATTGCTTGATCTACATGCAGCTTTATGTTGCTTTAGTTTGTGATATGACAAGAAGATTCCATGGTCAATTGTCCACTCCTACCTCAATGTTAGAATGTGTGTCCCCTGGTGTCATGAGGTTTTGTAAGGTTTCATAGTTGATCAAATAATTCTCTAAGTTCATGGATATCAGTCCTGGCTGATGCTCACTGGGCAAGACAAGCAATTCCATTTTCTCTCTCTCTCTCTCTTTTTTTTCCCCCAAAATGGAAATCAATCTGTATTACTAGAATAAACCTCAATTGGGCATGACTTATTATCCTCATATATATTCTTAGATTCAATTTTCTCTGATTCTCCATGAGGTTAGTATTTATCTTGTTTGTTTCTGGAAAAACAAGAAAAAGATTACTTTCATTTTAGACACTATATTGATGCTTAATATTATCCTTTAGTATCTAAATGATATGGTTTGATAGGCATAGGCATAACTTAAGGTTTCTTTCACTTAGAAAATGAAGAGAAAGTGGACATTTGAAAATGCGAATTGTTAGGATAGAGGCAGACATTTAGTTTCACAACATCTTTATTCCATGTGTGTGGTCCACAAGATACATGTACCTTAAAGTTGTTAGTGTAGTTAATTACACTAACTACATTCTTTCACCTGGTTCTTCATTCATTAGTATGCTCTCAATCTTCACTGGATTAGCTAACTTCTCACATATAGCATAATTTTTCCTACTGCAGAGATCATAGTAAACATATGGATTATGTATATATCCACAATACATTACACCATGTAAGTCACTTGTGTTTCTTGTAAACCTGAAAAAGAAAATAATGAATTACACTAGGCTACTCAAACATTTGAAACATATTCGTACACACAAAAATTGCTTTTCCAGTATATCATTGCTTCTAGGCTCTGCATTGTCTAAGATAAGTTTTAATTATTATTTGGAATATCAGGAGTGTTCAGGTTACTCATTTTTATTGACATATATACAATGTCAAAGACTGCCTCATTTTTCTCTGCCTTGTTCTCTTTCTCACATCTGGAATATTTGCTGTTCTTTCAGACATAGCATCTCCCTCCCCTAATACCTAACATGATTTAGAATAATGAAATTCCATTAGATTTTCTAGTCTAACTGGCTCAGTAGTAAATCTTTGACACTGTCTTTCTCAAATGTTTTTCATCACCAAAACCAATAATCAACCTAATACGAACATTATCTCCAAGTGACATATCCCTCTAGTTTTTTAAAATTTATTTTAATGATAAAGACAGTATAACGCATTTTATTAAGTTTTTCCCCATTTTTGAAAAGTGTTCTTTTTTTTAAAATTAAATTTATTGGTGTTACATTTGTCATATTAACATAGATTTCAGGTGTGGGTTTCTATGTTATAAGATGTGTATATTGTACCATGTGCCCACCACCCAAAGTCAAATTTTCTCCTGTCACCATATATTAGGTTCACCTTCTCTCCTTCTAGTTGTTTTTTAGAGATTTTTACTCTGAAGTTCTGAATTATTACCAGCCACTAATACAAGATTATTGGTCAGGGATTCTGCATTAAGACAAACTTGTAAATTGAAAATATTATCTTTTGAAAAAACTTTAGTATTAATACTTGAGCTGATAAATAATGATCATTTATCAATAAACAAATTCCTCAATTAAATATTCAAAAGTAAAAATTCCTATTTGAGGTAAAATAATACAGATGTCATTGATCACACCCCTTTCCAGAAACAAACTCCAAAATAACATCAAGAATAAAAACCAAAAGCGAATCATATATACATACATATTTAATTATATATTATATACAAATATAATGTGTTTTATATACATATAGTATTATATAATTTTTATTTCAGTATCATTTCTTTATAGTTATAAATAATCTATTATGTTTCCAGCCCATTATAGATTATCTTCCCATTAGCAAAAATTGCAAATAAACACATGGAAATTCTACTTTTTCAAAGCAAGATCCCATTTACACTCTCCCCTGATACATACACTACCTTTAGCCCTAGTCCTTCACTCCAAATGAGATCTTTAAACTATATATTCTTTTCCTCTCTGTTTGTACTTATCTTATCCCCTATTCTGTCCTGCCATTGCAAACTGCCAAAGCTAGAGCTGTCCTGTCTTTTTCACTTATATTCCTACACCTGCTATTTTTTTTTTCTGAAGGGAAAAACAACCAAAACAAAAAGCAGTCAAAGCTTCTATTTACTGTCTCGCTCAAAGTAGTGAGTATGCAGGAATCTCAGAGTTTAGATTCAGTGTGGAAACACCTCAACACAGTCACCCTGAGTTTGCTTGATGTGTCCTCAACAAACAGGTATGTATAAATTCACAGGCTTGCAACAGTATACAACAGGTTAAGACTCAATTTCGTTCTTTAGTCTAATTTTGTCTACTTCCGAAATTGAAGGGATTATAAACTACCAATAAAATTTTGACATTACTTTTATGTAAGTCTTACTTTTATCCTCATTACAAGCAGAACAAGGCAACGTATGAATCCATTTATAATTACACTAGAGGCCTGGTGCACAAAAATTTGTGCACTCGGGAGGGAGAGGGGGTCCCTCAGCCCGGCCTGTGCCCTCTCGCAGTCTGGGACCCCTCGGGAGATAACGACCTGCTGGCTTAGGCCTGCTCCCGGGTGGCGGAGGGCAGGCCCAATCCCTAGGTGCAGCCCCTGGTCGGGCTCAGAGCAAGGCCGATTGGGGAGTTGGGGTGCCGTTCCCTGTCATGCACAGAGCAGGGTGGATTGGGAAGTTGCGATGCCACCCTCAGTCACGCTCAGGGTAGGGCCAATTGGGGGATTGGGGCACCGCCCCCTGTCACACTCAAGGCAGAGTCAATGGGGAGGTTGTGGCGCCACCCCCTGTCACGCACAGAGCAGGGCCAATCAGGGGGTTGGGGCACTGCCCCCTGTCACGCACAGAGCAGGGCCCATCAGGGGGTTGGGGAGCTCCCCCCTGTCACTCACAGAGTAGGGCTGATAGGGGAGTTGGCACACCACCCCCTGTCACACACAGAGCAGGGCAGATCAGGGGGTTGGGGCACCACCTTCTATCACCCACAGAGCAGGGAGGATCAGGGGGTTGGGGCACCGCCACTGTCACACTGAGGGCAGGGCCGATGGGGAGGTTATGGCTCTACCCCATCACACACAGAGCAGGGCCCGTGGGGGGGGGGGGGTTGGGGAGCCGCCCTCTATCACCCACAGAGCAGGATGGATAGGGAGGTTGTGGCCCCACCCCCTGTCACACACAGAGCCGAAGGGCGATCAGGAGATTTGGGCGTTGCCCCCTGTCACGCTGATCCCGGGGCCGGGAGGCATATTACCCTTTTACTATATAGAATAGAGGCCTGGCACAAGGGTGGGGGCTGGCTGGTTTGCCCTGAAGGGTGACCTGGATCAGGGTGGGGGTCCCCACTCGGGTGCCTGGCCAGCCTGGGTGAGGGGATGATGGCTGCTTGCAGCTGGTCACACACCCTTCAGGGTGGGGGTCCCCACTGGGGTGCCTGGCCAGTCTGGGTGAGGGGCTGAGGGTTGTTTTCAGGCTGGGACTGAAGCTCCCAACTGCTCCTTTTTTTCTTTTTTTTTTTTTATTCTGGGCCAGCTTTAGCTCTGAGGCTCTAGCTCTTAGGCCTCCGCTCCTGAAAGCAGGTATTTGGTCTGTTTCGGTTCTCGAAACTCTGTATCAACTCCAGCTCTGAGATCCCAGCAGGCTGAAAGCTGGTTTCTGGGGTTTTGTTTAGCTTCTATTTTTGTAACTATGTTTCAAACTGCCAGCTCAGAGGCCGGCAAGTCAGGCAGGGAACGTTGGAGTCCTCCGTCACTGAAGCAAGCAAGCCTCATGTTAGTTTCAAGCTGCCTGGCTGCCGGCCGCCATCTTGGCTGGCAGTTAATTTGCATATTGCCCTGATTAGCCAATGGGAAGGGTAGCGGTCGTAAGCCAATTACCATGTTTCTCTTTTATTAGTGTAGATTTTAAATATATTACACAATGAAATATTTTAGATATAGCATATGTGCAATATACCAGGCTCAAGTTCATTTTATTTTCTTTACCAGAAATTCTCTTCTAGTCTATCTCTAGAATTTCCATTCAAAGTGGTCATTTCAAAAGTCAGTGTAGCCCTAACCAGTGTGGCTCAGTGGATGGAGCATAGGCCTGTGGACTGAAGGGCCCCAGGTTCGATTCTGGTCAAGGGCCTGTACCTTGGTTTCAGGCACATCCCCAGTGAGGGGTGTGCAGGAGGCGGCTGATCAATGTTTCTCTCTCATTGATGTTTCTAACTCTCTATCCCTCTCCCTTCCTCTCTGTAAAAAATCAATAAAATATATTTTTAAAAAAAGAAAAAACGTTTTAAAAAAAAGTCAGTGTATAACACAAATTTCAAAGCTAAAATTTATTTTTTGTTATTCTGAATGACGCATTTTCAACTTCTATTCTTTTTATCTGTAAAGCTAGTCTAATCATAAAATTAAAGGTTAAGTAATTAAGGGCAGAATCAATCTTTTTCTTTACTGTGAATCTAAGCATTTAGCATCATTTTAAGTACATGTTAGAGCCCATTGAATTTTGTTGGCTTCTTTTTTTTTTTTGACTGGCGAATGGATTTTCTGGTCGTCTTCAGTAGGGCAAAAACTTCAACAAAAAAAACAAACCCCACCTGAATATTGGAATTCAGTTCTTTATATAAAGTCCCTTGTAAAAACAAAACAGAATGAAAACAAACCGAAAAGATGGGGCAGGACAAATTTTTTAAAAAAGGAAAAAGGAACAGAAAAGAATTTTGCTGGCTTTTAAAGTTCTCTTAGATAAAAGCACAATCCATAGAAATTCTCCCTTATTTGGCTACCATACATTTGTTAGTAACTTGTCAAGATAATGGGAAGACATTTGTGGCAACTTCTTGCATTATTAGATGTATGAGGAAGCCTTATGGAAAATAATTCTTTATGGATACTATTTCAATTGAAGCCAGTTTTAATTGTAACCTACAATGCTCCTGAGGAAAACTCCTTTATTCAAATCAACCAGAAACATTAAACATGACTAAAGACTTACCAGTCAGAGGAGATAATTGTTTCATCCAAGTCTATTTCAGGTTTGTAATCTTTGGGAGATAATCCTAACCAATAGTACTTTAACTTCTTGGACTTTATAAATTCCTACAGAAATGAGATAGTTTGTTAAAATAACTATCTTCCATTTCTGTATTTTACCTCACAACATAATTTCTTACAAATAACTGTCTTAAGGTAACATTTTTAACATTATACTACAATTTTTCATTGTCATTAAAGAAAATTGAGGCAATGTTTTTCACTACTAATATAAGAGTTCTTCCAGCACTTATACATCAGTAAATGTCTCACACGAAGAAGGACCTACCAATCCATTCATAACCTTAATTTAGAGTTAATGAAGTTCACAAACTTCATGATTCAAATATTGAGCAGTAAATATTCAGACTAGTGGCAAAGAGGTGGCTATAAACACATGTAAATAGAAATAGAAAGAGTAGGGAAAATGTAGCAAAGTCAGATGAGAGTGGTTATAGAAAAGAACTTAAAACCAGTCCAGAGTTTTGTAGCCAAAGTCACATTTTTTTAATAAATACTATGGATGGGTCATTTGAGGAAAAACACATGAAGAAGAGCTATGGATTGATTTCCCTCTCTTTTTTGAAGAAGGAGAAAGATGTTTGAGTCGAGAAATGAATTTTTGCCTTGAAAAATAAATACATGATTTCCATCTGAGTGACCAGAATGTTGAGTAATATGTAAAATATGGAGATACTATTTAGATATTTGAAAAAATAAATATATGAACAAATCTTCCAGAGGACTCACTTTTTCTTGGACCCAGGAACTCTGTGCAGTATATTTGCTTGGCACTTGCCTTTGCCATCCCATCTTAATTCTGTTTTTTTATACATATTTTATCCAAACTATCTTCTTATTCTAGTATATATTGACTTTCTCTCTTAGTTAAAAAAAAATACAAAATGGTGGAAATAAAGAATCTCCTCCTTTGTACATCTTTTGGAATTAGTAAACATCAGGAATAATTTCCAGATCTTCTGTTTTTAGATAAATGTTCATAAATCATGTCCTAAAAGTTGATCCTAAACTTTGGAAATGCTTACAGACCTGATTCTGGGTGCCCCATATCTATTCATTTGCCCAGCCTCTCAGATACACTGATGCTAGGGTCCTCAGCTAAAGTTTTATATGCTTTACGTTGGCTACCTGAGATAAATGTGCCAAGTCTCAGTCACATCATACTCCAACTAGAATAAGCCAGAGTCATGTTTGGATTCATACAGATCTTCCCCAACATGCCTCACTCCCAACATGCCTACTTATTCTACCTTGGGAAAAATGATTTCCCTCCTCACAAGCAGAGATCCATAGGACCTTACCAATACACTTTTGTTCTTAATCTTCACCAGGCTGGCATTGTGAGCAGAACATGTGGAGTCACTCTTCTGCCATGTCTCATACTCTTTAAATTCTCTATAACAGCTGTCCTCATACCACTCCCATTTCTCTGGACAAGGTTTACATTTGTGCTCTGGAAAAAGAATGTAGTTCCATTTGATGTGTCTGATAATCTTCGTTATTCTCATTATTCCCATTGTCCTCTATGTTAAATTAACCAAATTTACTTGTCTTTTTTCTTTGTACATCAAAGATGAAGAAAATGAATCTTGTGTTCTAGGCCCCTCTATACCACCACAATGTGTCTAAAACATAATTTGAACAACACATTTCAAATTAAACACTTATCTTCCAGTACATTTTCCTACCTCAGGAGCCCTGGATAATAATTAATTTATTTCTCCCTTTGTCATTTTTGATATTACTACAAGGTAATAAAGGCTAATCCTAAGAAACATTGGGTAGTGAGAATCAAGCCCACAAACCGACATCAATCCACATCAATCCTGCCTTCTTCAAAGAGACCATTTTTAGCTCTGACTTGTTCAATATTTGGGAAACTTTGCAAGGGTACAAAGAACATGTTTTATTTATAATAGTTATAGAAAGTGTTACAAGGGCAAGGCCTAACTTTATTTTCTCTTGACTCTTATTAAAAATTCGCTGAAATTTAGGAACCAAGTCACCTATAAAGAGATATACTTTTCTCCCAATCTTCTATCAATTCATTACCAAGAAAAACCTAATGAATGTCAGATTAGAGAAACTATATATTGTTTAATGTTTCATTAAGTTACTGTCATCCCTGTAATTTTGGGGTCTATGTTATTATTACTTTCTGTTTTTCTTTTTAACTAAATAGAAATATTAAGTACTCTGTCAACCAGATTTAATTCCTTCCCCCAAGTAATGTCTTCCAAAGGAAAAACTGATTATCAAGTGACTCCTAGGATTAGTTCATTGTATAATAAATAACTTAGACAGGAATATAGGATTACCTGGCTCTTTTCTACATAGCTCATAACATAATTTGGTGGCCATTTCTTGCAGTGTGCTAGAGAGGTTTCTGATCTTCTCAAGACTATCCATATTATATATTAGTTGTAGAGAAACATTATTCTGAAGTTTGTCTTTGAAATTTTGTAGCTTTTCCAATTTTTCCATTTCTATTTTCGAAGTTAGGTAAACTCCATATTAAAAAAAAAAGAAATGATAAAAAATGTTAATCCCTCAATACATCCATCACCTCCTTTTTGCTGAAATAGTATTAACAATATTGAAGGTCTAGGGAAGCATTCATTTCACAAGAGTGAGGGAAAGATACTAAGTACCATACTGTAAGGACTCTGTTATAAAGCCCCCTTTATGTTCACATATCACTTATAATCATTCCAAAGCCTCAATTCAAAGAGTGAACTTCCTTGTAAAATTCATGCAATTCTAAGTGTCTTTCCATTCAATCAAAACGTGGGTGACGCCCTGGCCAGGTGACTGGGTTGAAGCATTGTCCCATACACCAAAAGGTTTTGGAGGAGGTACTAGAGGTAACCAATCAATGCTTCTCTTTCTATCGATGTTTCTCTCTCTCTCTCTCTTTCTCTCTCTCTCTTCCTCTCTCTAAGAATCAATAAACACATCCTTGGGTGAAGATTAAAACACACACACACACACACACACACACACACACAGAAAAGTTGGGTAATACATACATATGCTTCCTAACACTCCCAGTCCAATCAGCAGCAGGAGGCACAGAAGAATCAGAGCCAAGGCTATTCGACGCCACACATGGGAAGGAGCAGGAGGTGCTGTGGGAAGCAAAATTAGCAAAAAGGCCTGGAAATGGTATACATCTTAATTTGATTCATTCATTTATTCATTTTGCATATTTTTTCTTCCCTAACACATCCTGGTAAAGCCCTTACACTTCTACCACCTTCTATACTTCTTCCATCTTATAAAACATCCATAGCCCAGAATCTTACCTTTCACACCAACTTGGTCAAACTCTTGAATATTTTCCATCTCACTGGAGTCCTGGAATTTTAGATCTGCATAAGTAACTTCTTCAGACATTGATAGCGATGAAAAGAAAGCTTGACAACAAAAAAAAAAAAAAAACAAAAAAAAAAAGAGAGAGAGAGAGAGAGGGAGATGAAGGTTAAACTAACAGTTGAATGTTAAACAGGAGTTATGACTTTTAATTCTGTTTATAAACTAAAGCTTAAACTTCTGTTTTTAAATCTCTGTATGAACCTCCAACAAGTTTACAAATGAGCTGCAACCCTACTGTGGCCTCAGACACACAAGAGGTAATATCCTGACATTCTTCCTCTTATCTCTTCCTTTTTCTTATTTCTCAATGTCTACCAACTACAGAGTAATTTTCGAATTTGTGTCTGGGTATTGTCAGTGTTGTACAAGGGATTATGGGTCACTAGTGCAACATGATGCAGACATCAAATTTATTGGACACAAACTTTCAAGCAGAGAAATAATAAAACGGGCACAATTCTCAAACGCTCACTGCTCCACAAAAATGGCTTGACACAGATGCCCTGCACATGTCATGGCAAAGGTGCTGGCAGAGGGGGTTTGTCATAGCCAGGAGACAGCAAAGACACAAAGGGCTCTCCCAGAGAAAGGGAGGGAGTAGGCTCCACCTTGCCACTTTGTGACACAGGTATAGATTAACCTAAGATGAGATAGAATACCTAGTTTCCCTAGAATATGAGAACATGGTCCCTGAGTCCCAGGTTCGATTCTGGGGCTCAGGGACCATGTTAGGGAGTCTGCATACTGATGGCCAATGTTGGTATACCAAAAGCCCTAAAAATGGTTAGCCTTGCTATCTTTCTGCAGATTGGCTCAATCAATTTGAGCCAGCTTTTAGCTAAGCTACCAAAAGGGGGAAGGAAATGCGTCTCCACGGTTATGCAAGCAGGCTTCTGGTCTGTGTGACGCAGCATTCTCAGGAGGCAGGCTCATTCATTTCTTGATCAAGTATGAAAGGCGGAGGTGGGGTTGTGGAACCACTGTTTTTGAGTAAGTTCTTTCTGATTTCATTAGTAAATCTTACCTTAAATTTTATATTGGTATTCCCCCCCATAAATAAGTGATTTATCACTTATTCATCCAGTAAGTGATTCTCTCTCATCATTGATGTTTCTATCTCTCTCTCTCCTTCCTCTCTCTCTCAAATCAATAAAATAAAATACTTTTTTTTTTTAAAAAAAAAAAAGAGGTTATGCCCTAGCTGGTTTGGCTCAGTGGACAGAGCGTCGGCCTGCAGGCTGAAGGGTGCTCCCAGGTTCCATTCTGGTCAAGGGCACATGCCCGGGTTACGGCCTGGATCCCCAATAGGGAGTGTGCAGGAGGCAGCTGATACCATAAATATCATAAAATGGATTGACATTTTGTTTGTTTTTTACTAAAGAGAATATGTAAAGATTTTTTAAAGTACTTAATAAAAATATTAACTGCTTTATTATATGTTGGAATAGACAGTAAGATTAAGTAAAATAATAGCTCCCTTTCACAAGAGATACTAAATAATAAAAATCATAGATACAAAATAATTAGAAATATGCACAACCAAAAGGAAAAAAAAAACTTTAAAACTCTTTTTTTTTTAATATATTTTATTGATTTTTTACAGAGAGGAAGGGAGAGAGATAGAGAGTCAGAAACATCGATGAGAGAGAAAAACATCGATCAGCTGCCTCCTGCACATCTCCCACTGGGGATATGCCCGCAACCCAGGTACATGCCCTTGACCGGAATCGAACCCGGGACCCCTCAGTCCGCAGGCCGACGCTCTATCCACTGAGCCAAACCGGTGTTGGCAACTTTAAAACTCTTGAACAAAAAAATTAAAAATAAGAAAACATGCTTTTGGATTGCAAGCATCAATATTGTAAGAAAAAAGTCATTTCTCCTAAATGTATCTTGTTAGGTTCGTGACGCAGGAAAAGAGAACCAAGCCGGTCAGAAAAGGGAAAAGAGGTTTAATCCACGTTCTCGGGTGACACCCACGAACCCCAAAGACAGGGCCAGTGAGTTCCTGCCAACAGGGAGGGGCGGCACTTCTTTTATACAGGTGTTTAGTGAGGGGCGGTGGCGGGGGAGGGGCATGAGCTGAGGGAGTTCCCGCGGCAGGGGTCATGAAGTTCCCACCGTGGGGGTCGGCAGGGAATTCAGGAAGGAGTCAGTATCTGTGTGGGGGTCATTGTGGGTTCCAGGGAGGAGCCGGTATCTGTGTGGCCCTCTGTCTGGCACACTGACCTCTTAGAAATTCCAGGGAGGGTCCATTATCTCGTCACATATCTGCATGCACCTGATCCTGGGCTCCCTCCGACCTAACATATCTAAACAATCAATGTCAACTTAATTGAAGTACTACTAGATTTTCCTTCTGATACTTGAAAATAGCTATCAAAATTTATCTAAAAATATAAGAGTGAACATCTTGCCAGCAACATTTAAAAGAAAGAATATGCAAAACATGTGATTATCTCATCCTAGGCACTTTACTAATGCTAGTTTTATCATTACAGCTCTAATACTATTATCATCACCCTTATTTTACAAACTGGAAGTGAGCTATTAAGAGGTTATGTCCTGCCCAGGCTGGTATAACTCAGTGGTTGAGTGTAAACCCATGAAGAAAGAGGTTATGGGTTTGATTCCTGGCCCTGGTTGTGGCCTCAGTTCCCAACGAGGGGCATGCAGGAGGCATCCAATAAGTGTTTCTCTCTCATCATTGATGTTTCTATCTCTCTATCCCTCTCCTTCCTCTCTCTCTCAAATCAATAAAATAAATTTTTTTTTTTTTAAAAAGAGGTTATTCCCTAGTTCGTGAGCCACATGCGGCTCTTTGGCCCCTTGAGTGTGGCTCTTCCACAAAATACCGACTTCTGCACATGGGCCACGAGGTTTCAATTGCACTCTATTTTGTGGAAGAGCCACACTCAAGGGACCAAGAGCAACATGTGGCTCACGAGCCGCAGTTTGCCAACCACTGCCCTAGCTGGTTTGGCTCAGTGGACAGAGCATCAGCCTGCAGGCTGAAGGGTGGTCCCAGGTTCGATTCTGGTCAAGGGCACATGCCTGGGTTGCAGGCTGGATCCCCAGTAGGGGGTGTGAAGGAGGCAGCCAATCAATGATTCTCTCTCATCATTTATGTTTCTATCTCCCTCTCCCTTCCTTTCTGAAATCAATAAAAATATGTTTTAAAATAAAAAATAAATGAAATAAAAAAGAGATGATGTCTTTATCCAACATCACACAGATGACAAGTGATAGACTTGAGACCTGACCCAAGCATCATGGCTGCCTAGTGCAATATACCCACAGGCAATAATGCCTCATATTTTTAAAAAAAAAGCCTCTTGTGGGGAGAATAGACTAGCCCCTTCTATTCTCTTTGTGGATCATATATTTATGTATAAAAATGACAACATTAAAATTTTAGATGAAAATATGCATTGTTGGATTTTTTTATTATTATCTTTGAGTGAGAAATACCTTTAGAAACAAGATGAATAAAGCCATTCAAAACTGACACAATGACAATATAAGAGCTAAATTTGTTTATATGACAAAATACAATAAAGTAAAATACCCATGGCAAACTGAACAAAATTATATATATCATATATATATCATATTGATATATATATATGATATATATATATATGATATATATTATATGTTTCTAAAGTACTGTCTTCCAGATTACACCACATTTGGGTTTCAAAAAACATTTATGTCACTCTTCTGCTCTACCAAGCTAGCAGCTTTTGGGTGGTGGGGCATGTCCAGTGAATTGTTATTTATTGCCCCACTTCCTTTGCCTTGAAATGAATTACTTTGCCAGAAGGCATGTTGTAAGGAATACCATGGAGATTAATGAATTGCCCTGTAAATCCAAGACTAATGGTGCTATCAGATGCATTGAAAGTAAGGAGGACAAATCCATGTCTGGATCAGAGTCCCAATTATTGTTTCAAGCTCAATTTTCTCCTCTTTTGCAAATAACACACACACACACACACACACACACACACACACACACACACACACACTCACATACATAGCTAGGTAGGATTAATCCAGTCCAATCTAAATTATTTTCTCTAATTTAACAAAATGGGCCAAACAAAATCCAACAAAGGCTATATTTCACTACATCCATTGAATATTTCTTGTATATATTATCTAAACTTACAAGTAAGTAGTTTTTCTGGGACATTTAGTTGGGGAAAATATCACAGATGCAGAAGCAATAACATTTGCTTAGCTGTTCTTTCTCAGAAATTTTTGATGCCAATGGCCATTCCTTTCTTCCTAAACACTTTTATCTCTTGCTGGAGGTCAAGGCATAACAAGCATTTGCATGAAAGTGCAAAAGAGACTTTGGAAAGCCAATGGACTTTGATATTCAGTAGTTTGCCCTGCTGTGATTGTGATGGCTGAAGGCAATTTCCTGACCTGATCATCTTTACATTGTTTACCAAACTTTACCTTTGATCTGCCAGTATGCATTGCTAAAGGGCAAATGTGTATTCAAAGTGAATAAAAAAGTGGGCAGGACCCGGACTCCAAGTGCCTCTTCATGAAAGAGGTTTCCGCCTGGCCTCCCATGACTTCCAAATTCGTATTTCTTGTATAGTGTATTCATTGTTTCATCAGCCCTCCTGCAAGTCATCCTGAAGTCACTGTGAAGGTTGCAGTAATCTCTTGGATTCTATCTTGCCGTCACTTAATCCTTAATGAAATGATGCTAAATTAGAATTATTATTTATCTCAGTTCTAGAACTCTTATTTGACTCGAATTATTTCCATGTTGTTGAACCTCTTTATACTTTTATCTCTTAATTTGAACACACAAATCATTTTTATTTTAAATTTCCTGTTTGATATTATCAGTGTCTGAGACTTTTGGTTTGTCAATTGATGCTTTGTCATTTAGTCCTTTTCTTTTCTCTTTTAAGGGTGCCTAATAATATTTTATTAAATGCTGGGCCTCCTATATAATAAAAAGGTAATATGCAAATAGACTGGACAGCAGAACGACCAGTCGCTATGATGTGCACAGACCACCAGAGGGCAGATGCTCAATGCAGGAGCTGCCCCCTGGTGGTCAGTGCGCTCCCACAAGGGGAGTATCGCTCAGCCAGAAGCCGGGCTGATGGCTGGGGAGCACAGTGGCAGTGGTGGGAGCCTCTCCCACCTTTGTGGCAGTGCTAAGGAGCAGTGAGCAGATGGGCAGTAAGGAGCAAGGGGTCCCGGACTGTGAGAGGGATGTCCTACTGCCGGCAGGCAGACATCCCCCGAGGGCTCCCAGACTGAATGAGGGCACAGGTCGTGCTGAGGGAACCCCCTCCAGTGCACATTTTTTTATGCACTGGGCCTCTAGTAGTATATAACAACAATGGAGATTATGAATAATATCATCCTACAAAGAGATATTTATTTTTTCCTTGCAGGCAGGTAAAATATAAACAGTAAGTCATAACCAATTGGAGTCCCTCAACTTTTGTCTTCTTAATTGTTTTAGAATTTTGTCCAACTTTTAAAATTATTATTAAATTTATTGGGGTGACATTGGTCAACATGATCATATAGGCTTCAGATATGGGTTTCTATGCTACAAGATCTGTATATTGTAC